GGGCTGCACAGGGGTAATGTGTGTGCATGCACAGAGCAAAGCTGTGAGTGCTGGGAGCTGCATGATTCAGGGTAGGGCGTTGAACTTCAGGAAGGGTGGGGAGACCAGGGAAAGCGAGGCTGACCACATCCCTGCCGTCCTGCTTCTTCCTTCCATAGTTTATAGCTTCTGGGCAAAGGCCAGAAACTCCCAGACAAGTAACAGCTTTGTTTACATCGGCAACACACACTGCACAGATTGAAGGAGTTAAAGGTGGAATGAATGTCCAACCGACTCAAGTGAGCAACACCTCAGGAAAAGGGATTTCCTCATACCCCAGCCCTGTACTGCTTCTTTAATCAAGAGATCGTATCTGCAGGGGACCTGGACTCCGTGAACTGGAAGCAGACATAAGCCTTACTGACACTGTACTGCCGCAGATCACGGCTGTGAAGGGGCCTGGGTAAACAAAAGCTCTAATCACAGGAACCCCTATATAGGGTAGGAAGTCACTCCCCTTTTCTCACGGAGTCTGCTGACTGCGATTAGCACTGAAGTTTCCCTGAGTACTAGGCTGTCAAGAGAGAGAGACAATGTAGCCTGATTGGTCCTCCCTGTGCCATTGGGGTTTCCCAACCAATAGCTCTCTATCAGTCCATCTCTAAGGGCAGGTTCTCAGGTCAGGGCTAAATAGGACAATGGAGGAAGGAGACCCAGCTCATGCCCTCAGGAAATGCACATCTCTAAGTCAGCCTGGGAGCAGGCTTGCTGTCAAGCCAAGCCTCCCGGGGTCACAGGGTCACAGGATGTGTCAGCACCACCTAATTCAGTTTGTTTGCAAGGTGACTTCTCAGTCCTTAGCCCCATCCTCCTCCACGCCAGCCACTATCCCTTCTTTCACGGAGAACCCTGGGCCTTCTCTTGCACTGGCATTGCCATCTGGAATGTCTTCCTTCTACTCCAGTGCCAAGTCCTCTGGGAAGGCTGTCTGCAGGCCCTCCCTGCTCTGTTCTCTCTAAACTCTCATTTATTCCCCTCATGGCCAGGAAGTGTGCTCTGTGGAGGGGTCCAAGGCACTAAGCCTCCAGTCACACTGACCAGCCAGTCCCTGCGAAAGGACAATGAAGGATCTCACTACCATCCACACTCCCTGGAGGCTGGGCTGTGTCTGTCCTCACTGCTGCCCATGCACTTCAGAGCCTGCTACAGAGAAGGTACTCAGCTGGCTAAGTGACTCTGGGGGAGAAATGTGACTGACAACACCCTGGGGACTGTAGTAAAGAGAGCCCCTGCAGGAGGCTGTAGTCCAGGGTGGGGGTAGGGCCAAGTGCGGGAGACGTGGGTATGAAGTGGTGGAGGTGAGCCGAATCGGGACCAAGAGTTCAAGTGCTGTGTCTTGAAATCTCAGGGCCTCTCTGCCTATCATCTTTTTCTTTTTTACATTTTTTAATGCTTAGTTTTGGTTTTGGTTTGGGTTGGTTTTTTTGAGACAAGGTTTCTCTGTGTGGTAGGTACTAGCTATCCTGGAACTCACAAATGTAGACCAGGCTGACCTTGAACTCAGAGTTCTGCCTGACTCTGCCCTCACTTCCACCCCTGTGTTTGGATTAACTATTGGCTGTTTAGCTTCTTATTAGACTGATCAGGTGCCTTAGGCAGGCAAGGTAAATAAATGTAACACATCTTAACTTAGTTAAACAAATACAGCACATCCTTACATAGTTAAATAAATGGAACCCATCTTTACATAGTTAAGCTAATATTTCACAGTGGTCCAGGTACCTCCTTTTAGATGTCTTCTCCCAAGTCAGTGAAATGACTTAACTGATAACCCCAATTCAATCCCCTGGACAGACATGGTGAGAAAGAAGAGTCAACTCCCATGGGAGTTCTCTGACCTCCAATGAGTGCCATGGCACATATGCATGCGTGTATGCAGGAGCACGTGTGTGCGCGTGTGTGTGTGCGCGCGCGCATCCCCCCCCCCATGCATTCACCTACACACAAATAAATAAATACAATAAATCATAGGTGCCTTCTCTCAACTCTTCATCTTTTCCAACCTGCTCCTCTCTCAGTTTCACGAGGGCATCTCCACTCATCTGGTTACCTGGGTCAGGGACCACCAAGCCTTTTCTCACTTCTCCTGCACCCACTCAAGCTTTTATGAAATTGGGTCACTATTCCATGGTGTGCTGGGATTGTGCACTTTTTCTTTCCCACAGTTTTTCCCTCATTCATGCTTCATCTCTTCCACTTGAACTTTGAAAGCAGAGGACTTTTTGAGCCTGCTACCTCCACCTTCAACCCACACTCTATGCAGCAGCCAGAGGGGGATCCCAATCATACCACTTCCTTGTTCAAAACTCTTCCGTGTCTCATCATGCCCTGAAAATGAACTTTATCTGTTTGGCACCAGAGGCCCTGCATGACCTGGCCTCTGGCGGCCTCAGCTCACTTCACTCTGTCTATCCAATGACTACCAAGCATTTTCCAGTTCTCAGCCTTGGCTCAAGGTAGTCCCTGCTCCATAATGCCTCTCTTCTTGTATTTAGATTCCTCCGTTTTCAACCATCTGGAGAGTCCTCTTTGGGAATGAACTGGGTAAACAAGGTGTGTGTGTATATGTGTGTGTGTGTGTGTGTGTGTGTGTGTGTGTGTGTGTTCAGAATCACCGAATGTTCTATTTATGTATTTGTAGTTACTAGAGTTGTGAAGATCAGAGCCTGGTTCCTCATGTATGAGGCCATCCACCTTCAACAGGCCAGTTAAACAGAAAAGTAGAGAAAGAATGTTTGTTTAATGGGGCCACAATGGAAATATGAACCAAGAGGCCCAGTGAATCCCAAGTTGATCTTCAGGGTCCTGACGTGAGGTTTGGACTTTAACAGAGGCCCACCTGCATCCAGAGTCTGGCACCCACAGGTTCAGGGCACAGGCAGAACCTATAGGGGACTTCAGGGGACAGAAGTGAGTATGAATGAGGCAGCTGGGACTTGGAGAGAGACCACCTGGCTTGGGTAGGCAGACAGATGTGAGGTTGGGGGATCAGAGCTAAGGTTTCAAGTCTAGAATTTTAGGGGTTCCTTGGCTACTGGAAGAGAGAGGACCCTGGAAGATTGAACTACAGCTCACTGGCTGGCTGCCTGGCAATGAGTACCCCACTCAGCCAGCCCCCCAAGAGTAAGACAGTTGGAGACCAGCTGAGACCATCAGCAAGAGAAAGCTGAGGAGGTGGGAAGGGCTTAGAAGGAGCAACAATCCAGGGACAGAGATGCAAAGGCTGGTGGGAGTGGGGTGACCCACAGCTTCCTCCTGAACTGTGCTTGCAGCTCCTTGTCCTCTGCTCAGGTCAGCCTCATGGTCCAGAGGGAGTAGGGTGGGGAACATGGGAGAACATGGCAGGGCAAGATTGAGGATCAGCAGGGAGCTTATCACCTAGGTGGGCACCTACATGCTGAGTCAACTCCTCTCTCCTTGTCCCTTCCATCCAGCTTGAGAGCATGTGTCCCTATACCCATCTCACAGGAGAGCATGTGTCCCTGTACTCATCTCACAGGAGAGCATGTGTCCCTGTACCTATCTCACAGGAGAGGGCTGGAGATATAGCAAAGGCCCAGTGCTCAGGAGGTTGACACAGGAGAATTGTAGCCCAAAGGCTAGCCTAGGCTACAGAATGAGGACCTTCCCCCCACACACACACACAAAGAAAGAAGTACAGGAATGTGTCTCAGTTGGTAGAGTGCATGCCTAGAATGCACAAAAATATTCTGGGCTCAACCCCAGCACCTCAAAACACAGCATGGTGGTTCGTTCCGATAGTCCCAGACTTGGGAGCAGAGTCGGGAAGATCAGGAGTTCAACGTCAGCCTCAGATCTATAGTGACTGCAAAATCAGTCTGGGCTAACGAGAGACTCACAAACAGAGAATTCTATGAAAGGAAAAGACTATTCATTGAGCAGGCATTTGGGGAATCCTTTCTCTCTCTGTCATTGCCCTTCTACACTGTCATCCACAAGTCACAGGACATAGAGTCCAGCTGGAGAGGCCTGGGTACCAGTTCTGCCATGATTGCCTCTGTGACCCTGGTGAACATCTCCATCTCTCTGGCTCTGGGACTCTGCAGGTGAAGAATTGACTAGCAGGTCTTCCAGGGATCTTTGTGAACTTCTCTGATCTCTGTGTCTTTCAAACAGCATGCCATGTGTCTCTCCACAGAGAGGCTGAGCATATACCAGGCTGGCAAAAGATGAGTCTCGTCCCATCCTGCCAGTCTGCTCTGAGGATGGCTTCCCGTGCAGTGGAGGGAAAGGATGGACAGGGGACAAGGATTCTAATTTCACATCTTGAGCCAAAGCTGAGTCTGGCCTTTCCACTCCTCCAAGACCCCAGCTGACCCTATCACTGAGAGGCTGGGAACTGACCCAGGCTGGGTTGAGACGATGGGCTAGATGGCCCTAAAATTAGCTCCCAGGCAAAGGGAGCAGGAGCGGGGCCCCGCTATAGACTCCCACAGTGCCAGGAATGGAGTCCTCACCCAGCTCACGTGGAGAGGTCAGTCAAAGCTCCAGCAGGGACCAGTCATCATGCTGGGTGCCAGGAGTCACAAACTCCTATAGACACAGGTCAGAGGAGCCTGAAGGACAGGACGGACCCAGGCCAGCTCCTCGGGCTCTGAGTTGGCTCCCAGCCACCAGTCTTTTAGAGCCTTGGAAGGTACCAGGGAGGAGCCTTGCTATTTATGTCCTACCGGGACATGGTTGAGGGGACCAAACTGTTCTCTCAAGGCTGGATTAGATAACTTAGAACCTTACTGCCAACTCCCAAGAGTGTAGGAGGATCCGGGAGTTAATCAGCTTGCCCTAGGAATAGGCTGAGGACAGCAGTGACCAGTCCCAAATTCCAGGCCTTTCCTCCACCCTGTGGTGGTTACCCCGCCTGCTCCTGTCTCTGCCTGGGTACTCAGTGGGGCTTATGAAAATGCAAATTCTGCTGAACATTGACGTTCACATTCACAAGCCCAGCGGAGGAAAAAATTCAAGGTCATCATTGACTTCACAACAAATTTGAGGCCAGCCTGGGCGACATGAGTGAGACTGGAACTCAACCCCCAGTGAAAGAACAGTTGAAAGTGTTGCGACTGAACCAAGAAATAAAATAAACAAAAAAAAGAGTTAAACGAGGTTAGCCGCATAGCTCAGTCCGTCGAGTGCTTGCCCAGCAGGCACAAAGCCCTGGGTTTGATCCTCAGCCCTGCATAAGATGAGCATGGTGCAACAGGCCTGTGATCGCAGCATAAGGGAGGACCTCATCTACAGCTACATGGTGAGTTTAGTGCCAGCCTGGGCTACTGGAGATCCTGTCTCAAGAAAAAAAGAAAGGGGAGGGGAGGAAGCTGACACAAATCTCACCGTCATTGAACACAATGACGGCACTGATAATGCTACACATCTTTGTTGATTTGGGTTTTGGTTTTGTGAAGCAAGATCCCACAATGCTGCTGCCTTGGCCTCCAGAGGGTTGGGTTATAGACACGTGCTACAACATTTGCCTACACTTACTGTCCTGTGTGATTCTCCGAACAGCTCCAAGGAACAGACAAAGTTGATGCTCAGAGAGCTTAAGTGACTTGCTCAGGATCACACAGCAGATCAGCAGCAGACAGGGCTGAGACACGCACCGAGTCGGTGTCAGTGGCCTTGAGAACACCGTGCAGCAAGGTGAGGGCTGGGTGGAGGAGGCAAGGGTCATGCACAGTGATTCAGAAAGTACATTTGGAGTGTGGGAAAGGGGAGGATGGCAAGTCCTGGCTTGAGGCCTCACTCTGCTGCCAGTTCCTACTTCCTCCTCTGTGAAACGCGACAGAGGAGGAAGTATGAGGACAGAAACGCTGCACTCCAGGCCCGCCTGGCACACAGTAGGCCTTGGGATGTGTGGGCTGCACTCCAGGCCCGCCTGGCACACAGTAGGCCTTGGGATGTGTGGGCTGGACTTCACCTAGCCACTTCGGGAAGTGACTAGGGACCCTGGCCTGCTGCAACTGGCTCACAGGGCTCAACAGAGGTGTGTGGAGAGGACCCAAGGAGAGGAGTCAGGGTCACAGCCCAGGAAGCCGATGCTCAGAGCTTGGCCCTGCTGCTCTGCCCCCTGCTTAGCCCAGACTAATGGGGCCCTGGAAGTCTCTAGTGACTCCTGTGCTCTTCTCTTCCTCCATCTACAGTCACTGGGGCGGCTGGCCTTCCGTAGGTGTGTGTTCCGTAGAACACAGAGCTGTCACCTGTGGGCCTCTATAAAAGTGGAAAGGGGACAGACGGGACAGTTCTGTGTTCCTCTGCCCTCTCCAAGCACATGCTGGGCAGGGAAGCCCCAATCCCCCTGCTGACAGCTGGTCCTCACTGGGAGTCTAAATCTCCAGAGACTTCACAAATCTATCTTCTTCATTCACCATATGAGAAGTCTGGGGCCACGAGAAGGCCATCACCAGCCGGAGTCACCCAGAGAAGAGACACAGAGCAGTTTCTGAGAGAGCATTCAGGAAGCTCACAGCTTCCTGATGGGAAGATGCCTCTGGTGCCACCCTGCGGCAGATAGGAAGAAATGCAGGACTGGGTGAAGCTGTGTTAGTCTCCCAGGATGGGGCAATTCCTCCAAGAGACCATCTGGGTTTACAGGGCCCTATTCCCTCCTGTCACACAGCCTCTGTCCCCACTGGTCTCTCCCCCACACTAGACAAGGAGGTCCTCAAGGGCAACACGAGGCCTGATTCATGGCACCACTTGTGAAGGCATTGTGTATAATGAGGAAGTGATTTAAGCTGACTGAACTCAGATGAACTGGACGGAAACGGCGTGCCGTGTGGGCGAGAAATTCTGCCCAAAGAATGTTTATGGAATCAATGTCTGTGAAAGCAAGAATTGTGTTAGTCATTGTTGAACTGGGTGATGGGTGCGGCAGTTCCTTTGTGTCTGAAATGTTTTGAAACAAAGGAACGAATAGAAAACATCAAAGCCCAATAATGGAGTCTAAATGAACTGTGCAGCAGGCGTGCAAAGGAGAAATGCTTAGAGATCAAAGATGCTAGCATGAGGTTTGCTGTGGAAATCATCTTTAAACGTATTTTAATTACATGCATTTATTCATATGTGTGTTTTATTGATATGTATCTGTCTGTCATATAATTTGCCCAGTTAAGTGCAGTTTACAATTTTAACCAGGTTTGGTGGTTCACACCTATAATCTTCACAGGAGGAGGCAGGAGGATTGTCACAAGTTTGATGGTTGCTTGCATCACATAATAACTCTGAGGTCATCCTGTGCTACGTGGTGAAATCCTGTCTTAAGAAAGGGCACCCAGGTGGGTGGTGGTGGCACACGTCTTTGATCCCAGCACTCAGAGGCAGAGGCAGGCAGATCTCTGTGAATTTAAGGCCAGCCTTGTCTACAGAACAAGTTCCAAGCTGTTACACAGAGAGACCTTGTCTTTAAAAAAAATAGATGCCCAATAATAATAATAATAATAGAAGTAATGATGATGAAGTACAGGTCAATGATTTTTAGCATATTTTCCCCACCATCACCTAAATCAATTTATAACATTTTCATCTATTCCAAGAAAACTCCATTTTTATTAATTAACAATCACTCCCCTATCTCTCTCACCCCACACCGAATCTACTTTCTATCTGTATGAATTTGCCTCTTCTGTATAAAAAGAATCAGAATTATACAATGTACCCCCTTTTGTATCTAGCTGTTTCCTATTAGTGTGATATTTTCAGGGTTTATCTAGGTCATAGCGTAGATCAGAAATATCAGTGCTTCATTCTTTTCTATGACTAAGTAATATTCCATGTGTACTCAGAGTGATAGGAGCTCTTGTAGTCTAGGCTAGGCCTGAATTCATTACAGAGAGGAGGATGGTCCTCTTGGCTCCACCCACTGCCTGCTGGGATTACAGGCAGGCATCTTCATGCCTGGCACTGTGTTATGATAGTAGCTGAAGCAGGGCTTTCTGCATGCTAGGCAAGAGCTATACTAATTGAGCTACATCCCTAGCTTTGCTTTGGTTTTTTGAGAGCTACCCTGGGAATGGAGACAAGGCCTTGAGTATGCTATACAAGCATTCTACCACTGAGTTTTATCCCTAGCCTTTGACCTTTTGAGCATTTCTCGATGTATCTTATGAAATTAATTGTGTCGCTCAGACTGGCTTCCAATTTGCAGTCCTCCTGCCTCAGCTTCCTGAGTACTAGGATTATAGGTAGGTATGTGCCACCCAGCGTCACTGTCTGTACTTATTTTATGTGTATGGGTGCTTTGTTCTGAATGTGTCTGCGTATCACATGCATTCCTGATGCCTACAGAGGCCAGAGGAGGGTGTTGAAGCCCCTGGAACTGTAGCTACAGATGACCAAGTCACTATAGGAGTGGTAGGAATTGAACCTGGGTCCTTTGGGAGAGAAATCAATGCTCTTAATCACTGAGCTTTTTTTAAAATTGATATTTATTGAGGTCTACATTTTTCTTTGCTACACTCCCTGCTCTTTTCCCCTCCCCTTTCAACCCTCACCCATGGTCCCCATGCTCCCAATTTACTCAGGAGATCTTGTCTTTTTCTACTTTCTACTTCCTATGTAGATTAAATCTATGTAAGTCTCTCTCAGTGTCCTCATTGTTGTCTAAGTTCTCTGGGATTGTGGTTTGTAGGTTGGTTTTCTTTGCTTTAAGTTTAAAAACCACCTATGAGTGAGTACATGTGACAATTGTCTTTCTGTGTCTGGGTTACCTCACTCAAAATAAAGTTTTCTAGCTCCATCCATTTTCCTGCAAAATTCAAGATGTTATTTTTTTTCTGCTGTGTAGTATTCCATTGTATAAATGTACCACATTTTCCTCATCCATTCTTTGGTCGAGGAGCATTTAGGTTGTTTCCAGGTTCTGGCTATGACAAATAATGCTGCTATGAACATAGTTGAGCACATGTCCTTGTGGCATGACTGAGCATCCTTTGGATATATACCCAAAAGTGGTATTACTGGGTCTTGAGGAAGGTTGTTTGCTAATTTTCTGAGAAATCACCACACTGACATCCAAAGGGGTTGTACCAGCTTGCATTCCCACCAGCAATGCAGAAGTGTTCCTTTTTCCCTACAACCTCTCCAGCATAAGTTGTCATCAGTGTTTTTTATTTTGGCCATTTTTGCAGGTGTAAGATGGAATCTCAGAGTTGTTTTGATTTGCATTTCTCTGATGACTAAGGATGTTGAAGATTTCCTTAAGTGTCTTTCAGCCATTTTAGATTCCTCTGTTGAGAATTCGCTGTTTATGTCTGTACTCCATTTTTTTTTATTGGTTTATGTGATCTTTTCTTGGTGTTCAATTTCTTGAGTTCTTTTATATTTTGGAGATCAGACCTCTATCTGATGTGGGGATAGTGAAGATCTTTTCCCATTCTGTTGGCTGTCGTTTTTGTCTTGTTGACCATATCCTTTGCTTTACAGAAGCTTTTCAGTTTCAAAGATCCCATTTGTTAATTGTTTCTCAGTGTCTGTGCTGCTGGGGTTATATTTAGGAAGTGGTTCCCTGTGCCAATGCATTCAAGTGTACTTCCTACTTTCTCTTCTATAAGGTTCAGTGTGGCTGGCTTTATATTGAGGTCTTTGATCCCTTTGGACTTGAGTTTTGTGCATGGTGATAGATATGGGTCTATTTTCATTCTTCTACATGTTGATTTCCAGTTATGCCAGCATCATTTGTTAAATATGCTTTATAGGCCAGGTGGTGGTGGCACACGCCTTTAATCCCAGCACTAGGGAGGCAGAGGCTCCTCAAACTCAAACTGTGAGTTTGAGTTCAACCTCGTCTACAAGAGCTAGTTCCAGGACAGGTTCCAAAGCTACAGAGAAACCTTCTGTCTTGAAATAAATAAGTAAATATGCTTTCTTTTTTCCATATATTTTTTGATTCCTTGTCAAAAATCAGGTGTTCGAAGATGTGTGGATTGATATGTGGGTCTTCTATTTGGTTCCATTGGTCCTCCTGTCTGTTCTTATGCCAGTACCAGGCTATTTTCAGTACTGTAGCTCTGTATTAAGTAGAGTTTGAAGTCAGGGATTGTGATGCCTTCAGAAGTTATTTTATTGTACAAGATTGTTTTGGCTACCCTGGTTTTTTGCTTTTCCATATGAAGTTGAGTATTGTTCTTTAGAGGTCTTTGAAGAATTTTGATGGGCATTGCGTTGGATCTGTAGATTGTTTTCGGTAAGATTGTCATTTTAAATTATGTTAATTCTGCCTACCCAAGAGCATGGGAGATCTTTCCACTTTCTGGTGTCTTATTCAATTTCTTTCTTCAAAGATTTAAAGTTCTTGTCATACAAGTCTTCCACTTGTTTGCTTAGCGTTACTCCGAGATATTTTATGCTATTTGTGGCTATTGTGAAGGGTGTTGATTCTCTGATTTCTTTCCCAGCCCTTTTATCATCTGTGTACAGGAGGGCTGCTGATACTTTTGAGTTAATCTTGTATCCTGCTATATTGCTGAAAGTGTTTATGAGTTGTAGAAGATCCTTGGTACAATTTTTGGGATCACTTATGCAGTGAGAGTTTGACTTCTTCTTTTCCAATTTGTACTTCCTTGATCTCCCTTTGATGTCTTATTGCTCTAGCTAGGACCTCAAGAACTATATTGAATAGATATGGAGAGAGTGGACAACCTTGTCTTGTTCCTGATTTCAGTGGAATCGCTGCGAGTTTCTCTTCATTTAATTTGATGTTGGCTGCTGGCTTGCTGTATATTGCCTTTATTATGTTTAGGTATGTTCCTTGTATCCTGGCTCTCTCCAAGACCTTTATCATGAAGGGATATTGTATTTTGTCAAAAGCTTTTTCAGCATCTAATGAGATGATCATGGGTTTTTATTTTTCAGCTTGTTTATATGGTGGATTACGTTGGCAGATTTTTGTATGTTGAACCATCCCTGCATCTGTGGAATGAAGTTGACTTGATCACAGTGAATGATGGTTCTGATGTGTTCTTGAGTTCAATTTGCCAGTATTTTATTTAGTATTTTTGCATCAATGTTCATGAATGAGATTGATCTGTAATCTCTTTCTTAGTAATGTCTTTCTGTGGTTAGGTATCAGGGTAGCTGTAGCCTCATAAAAAGAGTTTGGCAATGTTCCTTCTGTTTCTATTGTATGAAATAATTTGAGGAGTATTGGTATTAGTTCCTCTTTGAAAGTCTTGTAGAATTCTGAGCTGAAACCATCTGGTCCTGGGCTTTTTTCAGTTGAGAGACGTTTGATAATTGTTTCTATTTCCTCAGCAGCTATATGTCTGTTTAATTTGCTTATCTGGTCTTGATTTAATTTTGGCAAGTGATATTCATACAGAAGGCTGTCCATTTCCTTTAAGTTTTCCAATTTTGTGAAGTATAGGTTTTTGAAATATGACCCAATGATCCTCTGTATTTCCTCCATGTCTGTTATTATGTCCCCCTGTTCATTTCTGATTTTGTTAATTTGAATATTCTCTCTCTCTGCCTTTTAGTTAGTTTGAATAAAGGTTTGTGATGTAGGAAGGTCTTCTATCTATCTGTTGCTTTCATTGGTTAATTAATAAAGAAAACTGCTTGGCCTGATAGGTCAGAATATAGGTATGCAGGGAAGACAGAACAGAATTGTGGGAGAAAGAAAGCAGAGACAATGAAGCTCCGGCCCAAGATGGACATAGGTTAGAATCTTTCTGGTAAGCCACCACCTTGTGGTGCTACACACATTAATAGAAATGGGTTAATCAAGATATGAGAGTTAGCCAGTAAGAAGCTAGAGCTAATGGGCCAGGCAGTGTTTAAATGAATACAATTTGTGTGTTTAAATGAATACAATTTGTGTGTTGTTATTTAGGGTGTAAAGCTAGCCATGCGGGAGCCAGGTGGGATGAAAAGCAGGCCTGCTTGTCTCATTACTACAGGTTTGTCTATTTTGTTGACTTTCTCGAAGAACCAATTCTCTGTCTCCTTGATTCTTTATATTGTTTTCTTTGTTTCTATTTTGTTGATTTCAGCTCTCACTTTGATTATTTCCTGTCATCTAGTTCTCTTAGGTGAGTTTGCTTCTTTTTGTTCTGAAGTTTTCAAATGTTCTGTTAATTCACTAGTGTCAGAATTTTCCAGCCTCTTTATGTAGGCATTTAGTGCTATGAACTTTCCTCTTAACACTGCTTTCATTGTGTCCCATAAATCTGGGTATGTTGTGTGGTCATTTTCATTGAATTTTAGGAAGTCTTTAATTTCCCCCTTTATTTCTTCCTTGACCCATTGATGGTTCAGGTGAGCATTGTTTAATTTCCATGTGTTTGTGGGTTTTCTGGGATTAATATTATTATTGA